GAAGAGGAGGGAGAGGATAGGAGGAGGAGGTGATGATAGTGAAGGTGGTGATGAAGATGTTGCTGATGATGATGAAGATGGTGATGAAGGTGATGATGATGATGATGATGATGATGATGTGATGATGATGATGTGATGATGATGATGTGATGATGATGATGATGATGATGATGATGATGATGTGATGATGATGATGTGATGATGATGAAGGTGTTTCCAGCCTTCATTTGTCAACATGAATACGTTTTTGTTGCCGTGGTGACAGAGTGCTCTCCCAGTCACTTCAAGTGCCGCTCTGGTCGCTGCGTTCTGGCGACCAAGCGCTGCGACGGACACCTGGACTGCGACGACCACAGCGACGAGGACGAGTGCGGTGAGTCGACTCACCTGTGTGACGTCACTGTGGGTGTACGAACCTGGTGAACACGTGTCTGTCGTCCGTCCGGCAGGCTGTTCTGAGCGCGCTCTGTGGGAGTGTCCCGGCAGTAAGGTGTGCATCAAGGCCAGCATGATCTGCGACGGCTTCCCAGACTGCCCCCTGCTGGTGGACGAGGCCAACTGCTGTGAGACCCGCCTAGCTTTCTAACACACTGTCCTCCCTGTTGATAATAATGCTAATGATTTTCCCGTTCCTGTGTTTTCGGTGACTCGTCAGCGGTGTGCAGCGATAACGAGCTGTCCTGTAACAACCACCAGTGTGTCCATCGGACTCTGTGGTGCGACGGGAAGAAGCACTGCTCAGACAGCTCAGACGAATGGAACTGCGGTACCGTCAGCTCCTGTTTCTGAACAAGTTCATGACACACTTAAATGCAGATTTTAAGTACAATACTGATTTAAAAACAATTCTAAACTTGTTTGTTATTTTTAATGCAAACACAGGGTCAACATTAGCTTACAGAGGAGGAAGTCTGTCCCGCTTTTCATTCTGAAGTTTGAATCGTTTGTACTTTTTTAGTTTTAAATGTACCAAATATTGATGCCAGTGAAAAGTTCAGAGTATGTAGACACACAGGTGTGCAGCGTTTCCCTGAAGTTAAACTGTGATGTCGCCCAGGTGAACAGAACAGGACCCAGGATCGTTCCTTGAGGAACGCCAGGACACACAATTATCTTTCTCATGAGTTTAGAATGGACATTTTTCCTACGCAGACCGTTCAGTCACACAAGAAAACAAAATGTGATTAATGTTGTGCTTTTGTTGACAACATCACAGAAGTTAAAAACTAAACCCGACAACATAAGAGCGACACCCTGAGAACCAAAAACACAGTAAAATCCATAAGATCAAGTAAATAAGAGAAAAAAATACATCTTGGCATAATAAAACTGTCATTACAGAACATGTTAAAATAAATCCACTTAGTTTATAGTTTCCATCAGTTTCTGTCCGTTTACACTGCGGCTGTCAGTCTCTCCTTTATTCTGAGCAACAAATCAGACAAAAGGAACGTTTCTTCGATTGCTTATTTTACACTATAAAGTATTTGGTCAGTATCTAGGGTTTTGGAAGACTTTTGTTTATTACCATCCCGGTTATTGGAAAAATCTAATGTGGAACCAACATGTTCCACAGATGAACACATGCTGTCTCCCCATCTGCAGGTCTTTAACGGACTGGTTTCGGTACTTGTGCACGTGTGCAGTAAAGTGGTTTTACTAAAATGTTGTGACTTTAAGGTCAGATTTGGTTCATTTCTTCAGATGAGACGTTCAAGTACCGTTGAAAAACTGAGACTCTGAGTTCTGTTCCACAGTTTCGACCTGATTAAGGGTCATTCTGGGGATTTCTTTAAACCTTTTAAACCCGTCAACAGGCTGCAGAGGATTCAGGAGGGTTGATTTAACTGTATTATTCCTGTACAGCGATCGTAAAGGCCTTCTGTTCTGATCTGATCTGTTCTGTTCTGTGCAGTCGCTCTGTCGGATCAGTCGGGTTCTGTGCTGACGGTGTTTAAGACGGCAGCAGAGTACCAGGTCTGTGCAGACGAGTGGAACCACGAGTTGAGCAAACTGACCTGCAGCCAGCTGGGACTAGGGTAAGGTTAGTAACACACACACACGACTAACCAGAACCATCCAGAACCCGTCGACACAGCCCGTCTCCACGCCATGAGAACACGCCTCTGTATAACGTGTGCGCCTCCGCAGGGTTCCCTCCTCTGTTTCCATGGTAACCGACCAGCCGGGCGTCCCGGGCCGTCGCCGTTGGTTACACGTCCATCCAGAGTGGAACCTGAGGAACAGTTCTGCTCTTCAGGCCCGGCTGGAGAAGAGAAGGTACGGCCACAGGAGAACTTGTTCAGTGGCTTCAGCTTCAGGGCTGTTGCGTCGTGAACGGGCCGAACCAGAACCAGCTTTTATTTATGACAGACAAAAACAGTGATTTGGTTCTGTTTTAACTTCATACCATCACGGCCTGAAACGTTTGGTGGCCTTTACATGTGATAGATAGATAGATAGATAGAT